CACTGTCAACTTCAAGGCCTGAAACTTGAGCATGCACGGCGGAATCCAAGTTGTTGATTTCTTCATTCACTCCCACCCTATTTCCTTGCCGGGCCTCCTTTACATCTCCTGTTTCTCTCCCCGGTCGTTTGCCTTCCCACCCTCCTCCCTTGCCTATCTCCTGCACCTTCTCCTTAATCCCTGTAGCCTGTAGCGGCTGTAGCGCACTTCCCTCTCCGCTCTCTCACTCTCTGTCCGCCCACTCTGTGCCTCACCCGTCACACTGAGATTTTTTTCGCCAATTGATGGCAATCCAGATCCCTTGGAAAGTGTGGCCCGTGGCCACCGTGGCACCGATGTTCCTGGCGCAGGAGCCTGGAAACTCCGACGCGTGCTTGCCAGCAGCAGAGTAGTAGTTGCAGAGCACTATTTAAAAGGTTTGGAGAGTTGGAGGTCTACCCTGCGGCTTTCCCAGCCACCTACGGCAAAACTCATCAAAACTCAATCCAGATTCCCCGCTGGAGTGACCGCGTCAGATAGTTTTAGGCATTGCCTTCGGGCGAATTCCGTCACTGCCGCACCCAAAATAGAGCTAGTCCACGCTAACCCTTTGGCCATTAGCCTCAGCGAGGCCCGGCGCTTCATGATTCATGGCAGATGTTCTTGGGCATTCACAAGCAAGCATTGCGCCCTTTGCTTGCCGCTGGGAAATTTAACCCGCAAGTATTGCGCTTCCCCCCTGCCTTTTGCCTTCGGGCGAATTCCGTCACTGCCGCACCCAAAGTACTTAGGTGTTAAGGCCTGTAAAAATTTTTAGTATAAGGGAGGGGCAAGGGAGTGGGGGGCAGGGCGGCCAAGGTGGCCAAGGCGGCCAGGAGCCTGGGGCGGCCTGGGGCGGCCTGGGGCGGCTGGGCTGGGTTGCTTTAGTTTCAATTTAAAAGTCATGGCTTTCTCCTTTCTGAAAACTAAAAAGAGTTGTGCTTTTTTTGTGCTCTGGATTGTGCTAGGAGTTTGCAAGTTTGTGCTTTTTCTGGTGCTTTTTCTGGTGCTTTTTTTGAAAACAAGTGTGTTTTTTTTTGTGCTCTGGATTGTGCTGGGAGTTTGGGAGTTTGTGCTGTGTTCTGGTGCTTTTTCTGGCGCTCCTTTTTGAAAGCAGTTGTGCTTTTTTTGTGCTCTGGATTGTGCTGGGAGTTTGGAAGTTTGTGCTGTTTTCTGGTGCTTTTTCTGGTGCTCCTTTTTGAAAACAGTTGTGCTTTTTTTGTGCTCTGGATTGTGATGAGAGTTTGGAGTTTTGTGCTGTTCAGTTGGTCTGCCTTTTGGGCACCCCCTGGGAAAGCACGAGCAAAAGCACGAAAAGAACACAACTGAAAACAGTTAC